TACACCTGCTAATTTTTAATTTTTTTTGTAGAGATGAGATCTTACCATGTTGCCCAGGCTGACCTCAATTTCCCAAAGTGCTGGGATTACAGGCGTGAGCTACCACTCCTGACCCACCCTTTTTTTTTTTTTTTTTTAACCTTTATTGGATTTAGACTATTGAATAATTAAGGCAGAGTGAAGGAGAAAAAAGAGCTACTTCTTTAACATTTTAGTATCCAGATAGTATAGTAGAAACTGTTCCTAGGGACAATGTATATGCCATTAATCACATTGAATAAAGCAGGTGAATTATTCATTTTAATTTTCTTTTTGTTCGAGAAGCTTGCATATCTCCCTTTGGCCTTTCCAGTGTGGTTTGAAATGAGTCCATGTTGGTTTAGTTGAGGAAGCAACAGTGAGAAAGTCACTATCAGGTAGATGAGAAGCAGGTTGTGGGCTTGCTGTCCCACCCAAGCAACTGCAGTGAGATAAATGATCATGGCCACAAAACGCATTTCAGGCTTTTCTTCCTTCAGTGTAAAGATATGTTTCCACCAGTCCATAGCTCTGCATCGAGTTTTTAGTAGATTGGTGCAAATTTCATGGAATCTTTGCTGTTGATCACTGGTGCACTTATTGGAGCCAAAAATGTTAGATGCTAGAATGGGAGCAAGGTATTCAGCCAAGCACCAAAACATAACAAAAGAGGAAATAGCAGACAGAATAGATAGATCTAGATAGTAGATAATTAAAACACCAAAGAAACCAGGTCCAAGATGGCAAGTGAAACCCATAATAGGTTTTCAAGTTGTTTCCCATAATTGGACCTTATCTACTATCAATATCACATTTTCCCATTCTTGCAGCTATTCTCTAAACCTGCAGTCTCTGCAGCCTGCAAATTGTGATTACCTCCCTCTGTCATCATCCCTGAGGTGCTGTCTCAGCAAGCTCCAACCTCTGTCACAGGTAGCATGACAGAAAGAGACAGAAGAGAAACAAATGAAAGAAAACAAAAGGAGAAACATTTTTGGAGGTGTCAGGAGTGACGACAAGTTCACTTTTGGACAGGGGAAAGTTGGAGGAGACAAATCCAGATAGCACAGCTGGGTATGTGGACAAGGATCTGTGGTAAGCAAGATTCTGTTTTCTGTGACCTTTAGCTCCTGATGTCATATCAATGTCATATCAACTCAACCTTCCTCCTAAGACCCACAGGGTGACTCCAGCCACTTCTGCTGTATTCTGTGGGTCACACAGACTCACCCTTATACAGTGTATAAGGGGACTGCCCAGTGGCATGAATACAAGAGATGTTGGAGATCATTGAGGTCACCTTGTTGACTGGCTACCAGTCAGTGCTGACAGTTGAAAGTTGGGCCAGTGTGCTAACACATGAAAAATGTTAATAGGTTACGCAGGGGAGGGTATTGATAGTGTTGGTCAGCTCTTCCGCTGCTTTGATACACTCTTACCCAACCTTATATTTGCTTTGTCCTGTCATTTATTTCTCAGTGTGGTGGCTGATTACAGTTTCTTAAAAAAAAAAAAAAAAAAAAAAAGACCTAAAACAGAAGAGTTAGTCAGATAAGCATAGTCATTGTGCTGCAGTTGGTCCCAAGACCATTATTGTTATCTATTGTCTCCCTCTTCTGTCACTCATTCTAGGCTCCCTCATGCAGCATTTCTGGTGGTCTCAGTTTCTTGCTCTTTGGTGACTCAGACCTTCATCCCTGAAGGGCCTAAGTCCCTGGTTACTGTACCTTTTTCAGACCTTGGTTGATGCAATTACCCCTTCAGCTATCACCAAGCACGGAAACAAGAAGACATGTTCCAATAAATCTCTGAGTTCCATTCATACTTCTCTCTATCCCCATTACATAGTAGCAACTCTATATCCTCATGATTATAGTCAATTACATCCACCGTATAGTTTTGCCAAATTTGGAGAGTTTTCAGGCATTATTTCTTTGAATAATTTTTCATTCCCACGGCTTTTCTCTTATTCAAAAACTCCAATGATATGAATTTAGATTTCTTGTTATTATCCTATAGGTCTCTGAAACTACTAATTTTTTTTTCAGTTTTTTTTTTCACTATTTTTCAAATGGGGTAAATTCTATTGATCTGTTTTAAGTTTACAGGTTCTGTTCTTCTGGTATCTCCCTTTTATATTGAATTTATCCAGAGAGCTTTTAAATTTCAGTTACTGTAGTTTTCAGTTCTCTGGACTCACTGCTGCCTCAAATTCCTGGGCTTAAGAGATCTTCCTGCCTCGGCCTCCTGAGTAGCCGGAACTACAGGCACTCACCAACACCTGCTAATTTTTAATTTTTTTTGTAGAGATGAGATCTTACCATGTTTGCCCAGGCTGATCTCAAACTCCTAGGCTCAAGTGATCTTCCTACCTCAGCCTCCCAAAGTAATGGGATTATAGGCGTGAGCCACTACACCCAGCCTCACTGAAGCATTTTTGTGAGAGTTGTTTTAAAGTCCTTTTCCAATAATTTGAGCATCTGATTCATCTTGGTGTTGATATCAGTTGATTGTCTTTTCTCATTAATGTTCTGATTTCCTAATTCTTGGAAGGAAAAGTAATTTTTGAATGTAGCCTGGACATTATTATTTTTTTTAAAAATTAGGAAGCTCTGGATCCTGTTTAATCTTTTTTTTAGAAGGTAGTTTTCCTGTAGAGGTGTAGTGTAAAGTTTGGTGGATGTATATGTTCAGTTTCCTGCTGGGTGCCACTGCCACCACCCCAGCAAAAAGGGGGCCACTAAGTCACGTTGCCTTATTGCCTCTGAATGGAGATGATCAGTTTTCTGCTGGGCCAGCTGGAAGCAGGGAAAGGAGAGGGCCAACTAGACTTACTTCTTGCCTGGTTGGTACGACAGGAGTGGAGGCTTAGCTCATCACTGGGCCTTGCTGACAATGGGGTGGAAACGGGAACTCCAATTAGCCTTGCTTTCCATTGCCTTGTTTAGTTACACGGCCACTGGGTGGTTGTGGAGCTTCAGCTCCTCACTGGGCATTGCTGACATTGGGGTGGGGGAAGCTGAGTGTTGACTGCCTCACCTCACAGCACCTCATTCTACCTCGTTGTTGCCAGGTAAAGATGGAGGCTCAGCTCATTGTTGGACCCTGCTGACACTGTCTTGCTGGGAGATTGGAGCACCCCCTGCTTCTGCCATCTGGGGAATGAGAGACCAGCTCCCTGTTTGGCCTGTTGACATTACCAAGCAGGAAACCAGAGTCCATAGTTGGCTTCTATTGGGAAGGAAGGTGGGGTGGAAGATCGACTTCCCTGCTCACTGACTGAGGCCTGGGGGTGTGGTTTATTTGTTGGTGTTTAGCTGGAGCAGCAAGGGCACTGCCAGAAAGATTTTCTGTTGTTAGGCCACCACTTTTCTCCTTGTCCTTTGGCTAGAAGGAAAGGGCTTTCCCTGGAGCTTTTGTTATTTATGCCCATTGGTGGCTCTGGGTTGGAGGTTTATGCAACATCCTGTCCAGAATTAATTTTGCTAAATGTTAGGGTGGTATATTATTTTTCCTTTTAAAAAAATTCTAATGTAGTTATTGATATGGTTGGGTTTAAATCAACCATTTTTTTCTATTTTCTCCATTTGTTCTGTGTTCATTTTCTTTCCTTTTTGGTCTAGATTGAGTTTTTTTGTTTGTTTGTTTTTGGGTGTTATTTTAGTATTTTAATTTTATTTCATCTTCACTGTAATCTTATTAGTTACACTGCTTTATGTTAGCTGTTGCTCTAGCATTTAATTATATATTTTAATACAGTATAACTTCAAGTAATATTATATCATTTCCTATATGATATAAGAAACTTTCAAACTTCTGTTTTTCTCCTCCTGGGCTTTTTGTTATTACTTTAATATATTTTACTTATACATGTTATAAATTTCACAATATATTTTTGCTTTACATAGTCAAAATATTTAAAAAAGGGATTTAAAAACTTATTATAAAACAACTTGAACTTCTTTTCTTACTTCTAGAGATTACCCCTTACCAGACAATCTGTAAAGTGTGGAGAATATAGATTTTTATATATTTGCTTTGAACATATCCCCAAGCAGTAAAAGAGGCAAATTAAGAAGTGTTTAGCAAGATAATTCTGGAAGCTAAGTTAGTTCTAGGCTGTATATCAGGCATCCTGGGTACCCATTGATTGGTACCAATTTACTTAGTGTTCATGGGTGAGGTTTCACTTGTTTATGGACTTTGAATCCCTGGTGTATATGGCAGTGGGTATTACAGTGGCTATATAAACTGATGTCATGCTAATTGCAAAGGTTTGGAACTCTTCCATATTTGAAGGCTGCTGGATTTGTTGTCCACTTATTAAATGGCTAAATGAGTGAGACTAATAACAAAAAATGCATTGGTATGGAAAACTTTTAATAATACCTCCGAGTATTCATTGATGGCAAATTCAGTTAGGACATGTGATGATTATGTCATGTGATTTCAAAGTCCTTTGTCAGATAAATAAAAATTCCAAAGCTTTCAAGCCTAAAGTTTACCCTAAAGTGCAGAATTTTGAGTTTCATGATTTTACATCTTACGCTTCTGTAACAGGCTATCAGAAGAGACTGAAATCATTAGAGGAGAAACAGAGTAGATGGTAAGTGTGTGATATATATTAAGAAATTTATTTTAAACAAATAAGATATGTAGTTTTTATCTATAAACAAATGTTACTGATTGTACATTGAAGAATATTGCTTTAGACTTTAGAAGACAGCCTAAGTTTAATAGAGCTCCTGGGTTGATTGATTTGATTTCATGACACCGAGTTTTGCTATCCTCTTGCTACCTTACCTTTATAATGTGATCATGATTATTGTTACTTATTTAAAGTGGGTGCTCAAGGAGGGAGAGAGGAGATAATAGGCTCTTCAAGAAAAGTTTATCTCCTGAGAGTGATAAATGTTCAGTAGTCTTCCTATGTATTTCTAAATTCACCACAAGAAGATCACTGCAAAGAAGGTAATTACATTAGAGTTCTCCAGGGAAGTGGAACCAAAGATTTACACACACACATACACACACACACGCACACACACATATGCACACATATATAAATTAGTCCTTTGGTGTACAGGGGGGGATTGGTTTCCGGGATGCCCCCACCGATAGCCAAACCCGCAGACATCCCTGCAGAACTGGCATATACTAAAAGTTGGCCCTCCACATACATGGGTTTTGCATCCTGTGAGTGCTGTATTTTCAATCTGCGTTTGGTTGAAAAAAAAAATCTGCGTATAAGTGGACTCAAACAGTTCAAATTCATGTTGTTCAAGAGTCAACTGTGTGTATATACATTATATATATAATGAGAGAGAGAGAGAGAGAGACAGAGGCAGTGACAGAGACAGACAGAGGGAGAGAGATTTATTACGAGGCTGTGGACTGTGGGTTTGGAAAGTTTAAAGTCTGCATGGCAGGTCTGCAGGCTGGAAAGTCCGGCAGGAGTTACTATTGCAGTCTTGCATCTAAAGGGAGTCTGGAGATAGAATTCTTTCTTCTTCTTGAGACCTCAGTCATTTTTCTTAAGGACTTCTGCTAATTAGATGAAGCCTCTCCACATTATGGAGGGCAATTTGCTTTACTTGAAGTCTACTGATTTAACTATTAATCACATCTGAAGTATACCTTGAAAGCAACAGCTAGATCACGGTTTGACCAAACAACCATGGCCGAGCCAAGTTGATGCATAAAATTAACTATTATAGTAATTAAAGGGATAATATTATGACCTGTATTCCATAATGAAAATAAAATTAAAAGACTTGCCCATACTCAGAGATATGAGTTGGTGAAAGAGCAAAAAGAAGCAGAATCCAAATTTTTACATACAATGGCTCACAAAATCTGCTTTCATTTGACAATATTCATTAGTTCTGATGCACAACAATAGAACCTAAGACTAACTGGCTTTGATTTGACACAGACTCCTTAAAAATTTTTATATTTTCTTACTGGGCACAGTGGCTTCAGCCTATAATCCTGGCTACCCAGGAGGCTGAGGTGGTAGGATAGCTTGACACCAAGAGTTCGAGGCCAACCTGGGAAACATAGTGAGATCCCAAAAAATGAAAAAACCCAAAAAACTAGCCAGGTATGGTGACACGTGCTTGCAGTCCCTGCCACTGGAAATGCTGAAGTGGGAGGATTGCTTGAGCCCAGGAGTTTGAAGCTACAGGGAATTACGTTTACACCATTGCATTGCAGGCCTGGGTGACAGAGAAAGACTCTGTTCCTAAAAAAAAAATTTAGGTGTAGAGTGGTTTTTTTTTTTTACACTTTTAACTTAGCATGTGGTGTTGAAGTATTATTGTAGATCAAGTTTGCTCACTAAGATGTGAGGAAATTGTGATTTGTTCTCTCCACCACAATTGAATTATACTTTTTTTTTGTTTGTTTTTTTTTGTTTTTTTTGAGACGGAGTTTCACTCATGTTACCCAGGCTGGAGTGCAATGGCGTGATCTCGGCTCACCGCAACCTCCGCCTCCTGGGTTCAGGCAATTCTCCTGCCTCAGCCTCCTGAGTAGCTGGGATTACAGGCACGCGCCACCATGCCCAGCTAATTTTTTGTAGTTTCAGTAGAGATGGGGTTTCACCATGTTGACCAGGATGGTCTCGATCTCTTGACCTCGTGATCCACCCGCCTCGGCCTCCCAAAGTGCTGGGATTACAGGCGTGAGCCACTGCGCCCAGCTGAATTATACTTTTATTATCTTCTATCATTTTGAAACACTGCATTTTACCATGGGACACCGAATATATTTCTTGCCATGATGGTAAATGACTGATTGATATATTTAATAATTAATAAATTTGTGATTTCTGCTGACAAAAAAGAAAATTAAAAAACATTTTTCTTAATGCAAAACTTTAAGCTTAATGTTAGTATCAAGTTATATCCCCTAAAGTGTGTGCTTTCTATTCATATTAACTAAAAATGAACACTTTCTTTCTATAAAAAATTTGTTGAATGAATGATTGACGTTTGTGTAACAGATTTCTGGATGTCTTAAAATGCAATTCTTTTTTTTTTTTTTTGAAACACCAAATAAACTCATCTTTTATTTGAAATCAGATCTCATAAAAAAGAGAATGTAATGAGTTTGCTACTTAATGCATCAGAATCAATAACTCTCTGAATTAGAAGTCACCTTCAGTAATATGAACAAGAATTTCATATAATGAACCAAACTCCATTTTATTTTTGAGACAAAGATTTTCAAAATTATATTCTAATGAAAAGTGATAATAGTATTTATAACAATATTAATACTTATAACCAAAATATATAAAAGGAGTTTATTTGCATAATATGCTTGTTTAACATGATAGGTCAGATAATACATTTAAGATAATTAGAGTGTATAACCTATTAATAATTCATTTCTTAAAAATAACACTATCAAGTGACATAGTGTTCACATTTTCTCAACTTAAAATATTTCTACTAATTACCTAATGAAAACTCAAAGGACACTGCTAAAAGAAAAAAATGTGAACAAAATGAACATATCCAAAAATGCTCAATACATACCATGCTGTATACTGTTCTGAAAATACTTGCCATATAAGGACTTAATGGTGCCCATGGTAGTTACTGATTAAAGTGGTAATGGCAAGGAGACTTAGTTCTGTCTTAGTTGGCCAGAAAGAAGTAAAACTATTGAAAAGGAAAAATGCAAAATTTGCAGTGAAGAAAAGGGATTAAAAAAATCCAGGGATCAATATTAAAAAAGTGAAACTGCTGGGTGTGATGGTTCATGCCTGTAAACCCAGCACTTTGGGAGGTGAGGCAAGAGAATCACTTGAGCCTAGGAATTTGAGACCAATCAGAGCAACATGGTGAAACCCCATCTCTAAAAAAAAAAAACAACAAAAACCCAACAAACAAAAAACCAAGAAACCAAAAAATTAGCTAGGCACGGTCGGTGTGTGACTGTAGTCCAGCTACTTGGAAGGTTGAGATGGGAGATTAGTGTAAGCCCAGGAAGTTGAGGCCGCAATGAGCTGTGATCACGCCACTGCACTCCAGCCTAGGGGACAGAGTGAAACTCTCTCTCTCTCTGTCTGTCACACACACACATACACACACACTCTCTCTCTCACATACAATTTAAAAAGACAAAACTGTTCAAACAGCTAGTTACTAATATCCAAATTAGAGTGTATTTTATTTCATGTTTTTAAGTATTTCGCTTTTTCTGTTTCATTTCTAGAAACAATTTTGAAAAAAGTGAAAGGAAGAATGTTATAGTAACATTGCAACAATTAGCTAAAGCATACCTGCACCACTGGAGAAAATTGGTAAGTTTTACCATTACTTGCATTGCTTCTCATGCTTTTTGTGGGTCTGCACATGATTGCTCATTTGTGCATGGTACTGAACAAGACTCTGTCTCAGCCACTTGTCTGATATCTCACATAAGTGTGTATTTAGAAGTTTAATAGAAGGCCTTTTAATTTATGAGAATTTTTTAAATCTCTTTTCTGTGTAAGGAATCAGAATACTTTTTAAAATACGTTGCTGTCTATGAAGGCACCTATACACACAGACACACACAGACAAAACACAAATATGCACATCCTCCAGGATTCATCAAGATGCCTGGGGTATGACTTGTCACCTTTAGATTTTGCCACAGCACCTGTTTCTTTTTCCTATTTATTGAACCCTCCATGTTATGGAGTCTTGAGGTTGGAAGGGATCAAGACCATCTTTCTCTCTGCATTTTTAGATTTGAATACCTAGCATAGTGCCTGGAATATAGCAGACACTCACACACAACTGTGGGATGAATGTCGAATGTTGAAAAGATGAAGTCTTTTTTTAGCGGCAGATGGCCATCCAGTCTTTGTAAGAGCACAGACGTCCTTATGCAGCAAAAACCTGTGCTCTAAAAGTCAGCATACAGATTAGTTTTGGGCTGTTCTGCAGATTTGGAGGACTACAGTTGATCCATGGTAGCTCTGCTCCTCTGGGATTTCCTACCCAGGGTCACTCTTTGGGACATAACTCACCATGACTACATCATTGTAATGTATGGAGTTGTGATGTTAAATGCTTTCTATGTATGCAGAAGCAAGGACGGCATTTTGTTCTTATCCTAAACAACTTTCAGCTCTAAAACTTCAAAGCAGTTTTTTTTTTTTTTCTCAGAGATTTCTTTCCCAGTTTTATTTAGTAACTTAGTAGATGGTCTCCTCATGTATGGTGAAAAATAGAATCTTTAAAAAAGAAACCAAATTTAGTATACTGAAAGAGATTTAGGAGTTAATCTAACTCAGCTCTCTGCAGCCAACTGTTGAGTAACAGAAAGGCCTAGGAACAGGAGAAGTGGGACAGAATTCCAATTGGCATGGCTATGCTTTTGCTATGCAAAAGCTGGGAAAGCCCAAAACACCTCTGAAGCTTACCTACATCCCATTTTATTAGGGAGATGAAACTGTCAAAGGTTAGAGCATGTTCCTGTGAACTTCTACATTGTCTCTTCTTTGTGGTTTAAGCCCTGGCGTTCAATCAATATAGGCAGTACTCTTATATCAGGTCTATCTAAGCAAGACCTTGGATGCTTTGGATTTTACAAATCCATTTGAGGCTAACACGATAATGATCTACTGTGATGGAGAATCACGTTTCTCTTGGCAAAAGGAGCCTTCTCTAAAGTCACACTTCTCTGAGTGTGTCCTTGCCAAGGACTGAGCCTTTAGTGCTGAAAGAGGGAGCAGGTAGAAACAGAGAGGTGAGGCAGAGAATGATAGGGTAGGAGGTATCATTGATCTAAAGCAAAGATGAATAGGCTGAAACTGGGGTCAGGGAGTAGAGGTCACTGATGTCTGCAAAGTCACTGTACTCTTCTCAGAGGAGTGATTTCAAAAAGGGGGAAAGTTGTTGCTGTCTACATTGTGGAGCTGCTGTGGGAATTCTAGAGCTCTTGGAAGAAAGGCAAAAAAGGTAGACAAAGGGCAGAAAGAGACAGATATAATTGTCCTTCAGTTTTTTTTTTAATGAAGAATTCTAATATACACAGTATACAATACACAATGCTGATATCTAGTGGGAATTCTGGTGCTTTTAGTTCAATTGCCCCTTTGTAGGTAAGATTTCTGCTGATTGCCTTAAAAAATGGGTAATTGTTTTGATGCACAAGTCAACTTCCCTTCAAATTTTGGGATTTTTCATAATTCTTACTTGTAGTGTTACTTAAAAAAATCTTTAAAATTTTTATTTATTATTTATTTTTAGACAGGGACTTGATCTGTTGCCCAGGCTGGCGTGCAGTGGCATGGTCATAGCTCACTGCAGCCTCAAATTCCTAGGCTTAAACGATTCTCCTGCCTCAGCCTCTAGAGTAGCTAGGACTATAGACATGTGCCACTACACTCAGCTAATTTAAAAATTTTTGTAGAGATGCAGTGTCACTATGTTGTCGAGGCTGGTCATAAAACTCCTGGCCTCAAGCAATCTTCCTGTCTCAGCCTCCCAGCCCTTTGGGAGGCTGAGGCAGGAGGATTGCTTTATCCTACTTTTAAAATCTTAAAAAAATTAATTCAACAAGTATGCAGTGAGTTTTTCCTTTATGCCAGTTACTTTGCTCCATGGATAGAAAAATGAATGAGATATTTCCCTTCCTTCAGGGAGTGCATAGTTGGATCTTATTGTCACTTAAAGCCCACTTAATGCTTTTTTCTTTTAGTTCAATCTATTGAACCAAAGCAGAATGGCACATGGTTAAGAGTGTGGGCTCTGAAAAATTCAAATTCATTTCAGCCAGTTGCTGAGTGCCCGTGGGTGAATTATTTAATCTTGCAAACATTTTGGGAAGCAATTTGATAACAATATCTTTTGATAACAATAACAATCTTTAAGCTAGTAAACTCATTTCTAGTAATCTATTCCTAACAGAATAATATGTTAGAGAATTCATAATCATTTAAAAATATTTATTGAGCAACTACTATGTTCTATATACTTTCCTAGGTAATTTGAATGACTCATTGAACAAAACAAAGATCCCTGTCCTTTTGGAATTTATATTCTAGTAGCAGGAAATGGAAAATAATCAACACTAGACTAACTAAATAGGTGAATTATATAGTATGTTAGAAGGTGATCAGTGCTTTCAAGAAATAAAGAAGGTAGATCACGATAAAGGCAATCAGGAGTGCTGGAATTCTGGGTGAGTTTCAGTTTTATATATGCTCACCAGCATAAGCCTTGTTGAGAAGGTGATGTTTGAGCAAAGACATCAAGGGAGTGAGGGAGTTAATTATGCCAGTGGTCCCCAACCTTTTTGGCACCAGGAACCAGTTTAATGGAAGACAAATTCTTCCACTGACTTGGGGTGGGGGGGGATTGGTTTCAGGATAAAACTGTTTCACCTACATCATCAGACATTGGTTAGATTCTCACAAGGAGCGCACAACCTAGATCCCTCGCATGTGCAGTTCACAATAGGGTCTGCGCTTCCATGAGAATTTCATGCCAAGGTTGATCTGACAGGAGCAGATCTCAGGCGGTAATGCTGAGGCACTGACATTCTGCTGTGCAGCCTGGTACCCGTCTGTGGTCCATGGGTTGGGGACCCCAGAATTATGGAATACCTGGGGAAGACCTTCTAAACAGAGGAAGCAGCCAGTGCAGTGACCCTAGAGTGGAACTATGTATTTGAGGAATTTGAGTATTTGAGGAATACCAAGGAGGACGATGATTGGAGCTGAAAGGAAAATTGGTAGGAGACAAGGTCAGAGAGGAAATGGGAAGCTGTGTCATTGAGGGCTTTGCAGGCTAATGTAAAGACTTCACTTATAATGTGTGAACAGGGAGCCATTGAAAAAGTCTTTGATTAGTGGAATAATTTGATCTGATCTACTTTTATGTTTTTTAGAGACAGAATCTTGCTGTGCTGCCTAGGCTGGCCTTGAACTCCTGGACTTAAGTGATAGATCCTCCCTACACCTCAGCCTCCTAAGTATTTGGGACAGTTTTTAAACAAAGTAATGCATGCTTATTATACAAACTTAAACAATTCTGAATTGCCATGTAAAAAATTAATAAAATCCTATTTTTTCCTTCAATTCCATACTTCTAGAGGTAACTAATGTTAAAATTGATGTGTGCTCTTCAACATCTATCTTGTGTCCTTCTAGGAATGAATATATAAAAACACAATTCACGAATATGTATATATTTGAATATGTATAAATATTAATATGTTGAAGCATATGCATGCACATATATGCATAAATATATATGCATACACACACAAATCTTTTTCAATTCCTTTCTTCCTTAGTTCATTTTTTCCTTTGTCCCTTCCTTCCTTACTGTTTTCCTTCCTTCTTTCCTTCATGGTTCATAATATATTCATAATGGGTTCTTTTGCATTTGATTTTCTTTTTAATCTGTTACTAATTGAGCACATTTTTATTCATGCTTATTTGTTATTTGCACTTCTTTTTCTGTGATTTAAGTATATTCTTTGCTCATTTTTAATTGAGTCGTTTCTCTTTTCTTATCAAGTTTTAAGAGATCTTTGAATAACAGGAGTTTTCTCTTTGGTCATCTATGTTACAATATTTTCTTCAAGTTTACTATTTTTTTTGATAATTTATATAGCACTATATAGTTTAAATTATTGAGAATGTTTAACATGCTATCTCATTCTTATTCATTATGTTTTAGTATTTTTTTCATATTGGTAATCCTTTGTCACTATTGTTTCTAATGTAAGCCCCATGACATTGTTTCTAGTGTGACCCCTATGAACTATTGTTCCTAATGTAAACCCCTAATGTAAGCCTCATGTTATTTTAAATAATCCTGTAGTTAACATTGCCTTGGATTTAGCTTTTCTCATAGTTTGAATGTGTACACGTGCAATATTTGGATCAAGAATATAAATTATTTTTGTGGCTTGTTATAATTATCACCCAACTGTCATAGTTTTTGGCCAGCCATCAGTATAAAAAGTTAGGGTAATATAACTTGGCTATTTATACAATAATATCATATTACAGAATTTAAAGAATTAAGGTTTTTTTTGATTTTTAAATTTTATTTATTTATTTTTATTTATTTATTTTTTACTTTATTGCAGTTTAGGTTTTGGGGTACATGTGAAGAACATGCAATATTGTTGCATAGGTACACACATGGCAGTGTGATGATTTGCTGCCTTCCTCCCCTTCACCTATATCTGGCATTTCTCCCCATGCTCTCTCTCCCCAACTCCCCACCCCCTGCTGTCCCTCCCCTATTTCCCCCCAGCAGACCCCAGTGTGTGATGCTCCCCTCCCTGTGTCTATGTGTTCTCATTGTTCATCACCCACCTATGAGTGAGAACATGCCGTGTTTTATTTTCTGTTCTTGTGTCAGTTTGCTGAGAATGATGGTTTCCAGGTTCATCCATGTCGCTACAGAGGACACGAACTCATCGTTTTTGATGGCTGCATAATATTCCATGGCGTATATGTGACACATTTTCCCTGTCCGGTCTATCATTGATGGGCATTTGGGTTGGTTCCAGGTCTTTGCTATTGTAAACTGTGCTGCAATGAACATTTGTGTGCATGTGTTCTTATAGTAGAACGATTTATAATCCTTTGGATATATACCCAGTAATGGGATTGCTGGGTCAAATGGAATTTCTATTTCTAAGTCCTTGAGGAATTGCCACACTGTCTTCCAC